AGCAGAGTCGATTAATAGTGTCGAGTGTTACGTGTTATTTCAGTCGTAACGTTGTTCGCTCAGTTGTGTGAAACGCGACCCCCCGCGACCCGACTCGCGTTAACGTGCGCCGTGCGGCGGGTGGTGGTGGTGGCGGTGGGATGGGCTGGGCAAAGAGACACATGCGGGCTAGCGACGTGCGCACTGCTCTGTGATTGAAAAAAAAAAAAAAAACTCGCAGCACGCGCACTGGTCAAGTCCACACGAGCCTCGAACTGTACAAATACCGCAAGGTCGAAGGACCATCGGAACGATTCAAGGATGCCCCATGCAATTTTCCCTATCCCGTCTTTGAATCCTTCCGATGATCCTAGGATATCAAGGAACAGTTTTCACCGTGCGACAAATACAGAAAAAAAAAATACAGATTTTGTATGTTTACAATAATAAGTACTCAATGATGATGACAAACCAAGTCAAGTGTGCAGCACTTGAAAGTAGTGTGCAACTACAAGTTTTAACACTTGCTACTGTTGAACTCCATAGGTGTGAACTTACAAGTGTGCAACTCGGTAGCTATGTGCACTTTGCAAGTGTGCATCTCCTCAGTTGAACACTTCCCTAGTGATTGGACGCTCACTGTGTGGCAAGTGCTCGACAGAGGAATTGCACACTTGCAAGTGTACTGCTACGAAGTTGCACACTTTGCAAGTATTTAACTTGCAGTTGCACAGTCACAAGTGTTAGGCAGTTGCACCTTTAGTTTCTTCTCGAGTTTATCGGTGTACACAATAAGCCATTGACTTGCAGTCTTGCTTGAGGGCACCACACCATAACTGTTACAACCGCCTCGACCAAATTTACTGTAAACTGGTTTGCGTCTTTTAACGCGAACTTTTGAACGTCCTCCCACGATGAACGCGAAGCCAGTATACTGTGCAGCGCGAAATTATCACATAGTCTAACAACTATTAAATTTGCCTGTTTACATTCACTCACTCACTCACGACGAGGTAACAAACCAGATATCGAGGGTCAGAAAAGTGGTGCATAGCAGGGTTGAGGGGATGGAGGACGAGGACTATACTACCGCGGCGGGGAGCTATGCGGTGCTCGGATTAAAGCAGGGGGCCGAAGAATGCCGTCCCCCTCCTCCCCCCCTCCTCGCTATTCGCAGTGCGTCCAATAGCCGTCGCTTTTCTCCGATAATTGGCCAATTGTGAGAGACGAGACGGACACCGGCGCGCGCGCGTGCCCCCCCGCCCCTTGGACACTGGGTGCCGACAGGCAAGGACCATTGTGCACTCGTGGCGGGGCGGGGCGGGGCGGGGCGGGGC